GGGGTAGGAGCATCCCCCTGAAGCACCCGTCCCCCAAAGCTCCCGGAGTTTAAAACTGCTGCTTGGGTGAGATCCCAGCCTGGGTCAGAACAACATGCCCGAACATGCACGGGCAGCACCTTTGCACGGTTTGCGCTCTCAGAGGAAGATACCACACATCGGCTCACTGTGTTTCAAGAAAGGATGCCATTAAAAAACAGAAGAAATACTCACAGACAAAAGGCAATTGGCCCCACGCCTCATATGGGGTTAAGAGAAGCTTGCTCAAAACATCTCGCACTTTTTGCAAAGCAGTGGGCGTGTAAAAAAAGGAGGGGAAAAAAAAAAAAAAAAAAGAAAGAAAAAGTGGAGGCATGCGACTCAAAAGTCTCTTGTGAAAACCCAGCGGTCCGCTCACAGATACCATTTCCTAAAGAGCTGGCATGAAATTAAGTGACGTATGATTCTAAGACAATTTGAAAGCTTCCTGCAAAGTTGCTGTTTTCCTCTGTTGCTGGAATCGCAGCTCAGGGCCGGAGCACAAAGGGAAGACAGCAAGATCCAGAGAAGGGGTTGGCAAATATCCCTTATTAGAGGCTAAGCCCGCTCACCTGCTGCCCTCGCTTGCAGAAAGCAGAATAGTGAAGTTGGAAAAGAAGTGAAAGCTGGCAAGGGATTTGCTTCTGGAAGCTGCTGCTTTGACTCTGTGCGACCGCAGGCAGAAGAGGGGGCGGCGCGAACGACACGCGGGGAAGGGATGCGACCAAACGAGAATCTCAGCAAAAATCCTTTCTCAACACTGACTTCAAGTTAAAGTGAAAAACAACGAGGCTCTGCTGAACAGATCCAAGCTTCAAAACCCTCGACGCCGCAAAGAGGGCGTCCTCTGGAAACCCTCCTTTCGCCAGGAGATCCCCCGCCCTCTCCAGCACTGCACAAACACCCTTCCAAAATTTCTGCCAGGTCCACTCGGTTCTTCTCCCTGCCAAACCTACGGCAAAACCATCCGCCCTCCCCTGCAGCCGAGGGAGGGATGCACATCCCAGGCCAGGGGCTTTTTAGCAACGCAACCTCGCCGCCAGCCAACGAGCCACATCTCTACAAAAACAAGCAGCGCCGTCACCCATCCTTCCCCCCAAATCCTTATCGCAAGCCGGCAAACCTCCTCCAGCTACCGGGAAAGGCTGATGTGCCTGTGGCTCCTTTGGGATCGGAGGAATAGCCCGCTGGCTAGCAAGGGAACCAGCAGCAGGGTAAGCCCAAGTGGGTGAAAGACCCCCACCCCAAAAATGCACGCTGGATGGGTGGGAGGTGATGCTGGCTTAGGGGAGCCCACCTCGAGCGCCCACCACTCAAATACTGATCAGCAAGGGCTGATGCGAGAGCCGGGCGCAGGGCGGCGTGCCACGGGCTCTGCAGTATGTGATGGTGGCTAGCCAGGGGGGGTGTCTTTGCATCCACGGGTTACAAATCACCCCCCTTTTTCCTTTAAAATTCAGGCTGTGCAGATTTCCCAAAGGCCTGCTGATCACCAGAGGCTGGAGATAATTCCTCTGCTCCGAATCAGAGGGATTTCCCCGAGGGATTTCTGCCGCACGGCCAGTCCCGGCTGACAAACTCCGGCGTACAGCTGGCTGCACCGAGTCCGAAGGGCCGGGAAGAGCTGCGACAAGGGGCAGCGCTTCTCCCACCTGCCTTCCCGTGCTGGTTAAGAGATTACTTTTTCACCCGGGGCTCCACCAGAATAAAACGAAATTTCTGAAGGAAAAGGCGCTGCGATTGGTATAACACACCGGAGCCCTTCGGAGCTAATCCTGAATATCCGGATGTCAGCTGGGAAAAGGGACTGACCCCAGCCACCACGCAACGTGCCCTTCCACAGAATCGGTTGCTAAAGCAGCAGATGCAGGTAGGCAAGAAGTTGAAGGAAACGACAGCAAACTCTGGGAAGAAGACAGTCGTGAAAAGCAAAACCAAACCAACCCTATTTTCAACGGAAGGACCCGCTTTTGAAAGCACAGGCTAACTTAGAATTGTACCAAAGTCAACGACCCAAGTTGCCTGGGACTGTTTTTGTTTCTTTTAATCCCCCCACAGAGGTTTGCCTCTCGTGGAGGAGAGGTCAGCTGTACAGCACAACACTTCATATATGCACTAGCAGTTAGATTGGTTTCTAAATTAAAAAAAGATGGACTTTTTATATATTGAACATAAATAAAAAAATTACAAAATGGTCACCTTTCTTACAGAATGGATGCAAACTGGATTATGAACGTGCCTCCAGGTGAAGTTGGTTTCTCCCCTGCCCCCACCCCACCCCAATAATAAATAAATAAAATTCATTAAGTTTTGGATCCTTTAGTGGTGCAGATTGGGCGCTCGGACCGTTACTGGGCTTTCTTCCCTGTGCCATTCTTGTCCGCAGAGTTTGTTGAGGTTACCAAGTTCACCGGCCCGTCTGAGTGCATTGAATCTTTGCGTGGCGGCATGCGTTCGTTAATGCGATCCAGACCTCTGGCTTCTTCGAAGCTGCGGATCTTGTGCTGCGGTGAAAATCCACGAATGGCTGCAGAGAGAAGGGCCGAGACAGAAATGTTAGTGCGAGCCGGGGATCGCCGGACAGGAGCACACGCCAGACATGTACAGGACAGAGTCAGGGCGACAGAAAGCACGTGTCTGGCTACAGGAACCACCAGATGGGTCCATGGGTGATTTTTGGGGTGTGTGGTAGCACAGGGCAGCTGGGAAGGTGAAGTCTTTGCTGCTAGGTGACAGCAAAGTCTAGGCTCCAGCCTGCAGCCACTTGCTCTGCTCCCTAATGGTTCCTCTCTTCATACAGTTTATGGTTGGAGGAACTTGGAAGACCAGACAAGTGCTCAACGTCCCCAAACAGTGAAATCTCAGGAAACTTTCCAAGCTGAAAAACAGGATGCTAAAAAAAAAACAAACAAAAAAACCAAACCAACGACACAACCACCAACAACAAACAACAACAACAACAAAAAAAGGCAAAACCAAACCAACACAACAAAGACACCACCCACAAGGCTTTAACTCCAACACAAACCACACACTGCAACACCAGGAGAGGGGAACAGCTAGTCCTCGGATCACAAGGGCAACGCTTCTTGCATGACCAGGAGATGCACAGGCAGTCTCAGGAGGGATGAGATCCCACCGAGGGCAGGCGTATCCCCGTTTCATCACTATGAGGCTGAGTACCTCACCCTTGCGGTGATGATCTGGACCAAACGTTTTCGCTTCGTTGTATTACAGGTAATTTAAGAAAAAGGGGGGTTGTGCCAAATCAAGGACTCGGCTGGTTTACAAACTTCTCTTGGGAATCAAGAAGTTCTCTACGCAGGGGTACAGCCCTGTTCATCGGTAGTCGGATGGAGCTATCGAGGAGGAAACCTCCCCAGACAGCAACCTCAGGAATCTGCCATTTCTACACCAACCGCTTCTCCACACCTTGGCCCACCCGTGGGGAAGGCAAGGATTACACCAGAGCCGTGCAATCCGCTATTTTCCCACTTCATTTTGACGTGCTGGCAGCCTTCACCGGACCGAGTTACCCAGGGGATGAACTCAGCCAGGAGGCATCCGAGATCAGACTGCAGGACCCCAGCACCGAGGTCTTGAGACACCGGAGCGCAAACCGCTCCCGAGGCCGGGGCGCTCTCGGGATAAAGGTATTGCACTAAGCAATAGCCTCAGGAAGGCTAAAATAGACTTGAACCAGCCCACTGTGTATTTTTTGCTTCCCAGCAGGGGCCCATCCTCCCCCACTTCTGGTGATGCAAGAGTAAAAAGCTTCCATAAGGCTGATAAAGCTCTTTAAAATTAGCGCACGCACACACAGAGATGATTTAAATCTCTCGCCAATTCTAGCCATACCTTCCCGTGCCTCTACCGCTTCTAATGTGGCTGCAGATACGA